CAGTACTTCTGTCTTTAATTAAATTTTTGCCCAGGTATTTTAATGTAATTTACATAGATTATTAGTTGTCAGGATCTAATATAAATTTTGTTTACGATTTAGTTAAAGTACTCGGACTGAGGAAACTAATTTAACCCTAGGACTGAGCTGCTTTAAGCATCAAGACGAGACCACTAAAAAGCTCCCACTGCCCTTTGTACTTTCCCAATAATCTTAAATTACTGCAACTTAATTGCAAATATCAAGGCACTAAATTGAGCCCCTCCCTCACTGTTTTAAAATAAAATAGGCTGGGGAAGGTCATAAGGAAAACCCATTTACACTTGTTCAGGTACCAGGTTATTTATTTCAGGAAGCTCATTCTCCCAATGGCTGGCTAGGTGGGAAACATTCTCACTTTAAATCCTGTAAAATAACTACCAAACAAACACCTGTTGTGCACAAGGCAGGACATATATTTAAAAACTGGTGTCAGGGGATTTCAAAAAGAAAAACAAGCCTTGCAAAGACATCCACAAGCCAATTTGGTCAATAGATTTCCCAACTGGGTAAAGCTGTGGGAGGACAAGGACGCAGCTTCCGGCATGGCTTCTCGAGAATGGGAGCCGACTTCTAAATAAGGCCCGAAAAGTGCCTTCGTACAAATTGACTGTAATTAATAAGAATAATTCATTAAAGAAACAAAGAACACTGTCTAAATGTCTCTCCCGACTGCCATGCACTTTACTCCACTGTACTTCCTCTTTTCAGAACACTAGCCTTGTAGCCGTAGCTGCAAGAACATTATCTATGGGACACAAAACCCAAGCGCTTCTTGAAATCAAACGTTCCTTACAACATTTATTTTTAGGTTGGCGACACAAGCCAAATCTGCTTAATTTCCATTAACCACATGGCCACATGCACATTGAAATAAACTATGAGGGCTGGCTGGGTAGGGAGAGTGCCATGCATAAGGTACCCCATCATTGGCCAGGTTTTCCCGTCTCAGGATTTCGGCTCATCTCACGGCCTGCTGATGTGCCAGCTTTTAGCACCTCCAGCCTTAATCCACCCAAGTACCATGGAAGAGAAACGTTTTTTAAAATCAGTTTAAGGTAGCTCCTTGGATGGCACACGTATAACAAAGTGGCCTGCAGACCAGCGTAACAAATCACAAGAAAGATCATTTACAAAATACACAGGCCCAACTAGTGCAAACTTACTTGGCTTGCTGACTTGATTCACAAACTGTGTTTAATCACCTGGTGGGATAACTACCATCAACTAAAGAAAAAAAAAATCCCTTGCAAATAGTAAAAGTATATGTTGGCTCATGCATAAATAAAGTTCACCTGTCTGTTCAGCAGAAGCCTCTCGTAAGGTTATTTTCTTTAGAAAACAAACCTCTACTTGCTTAAGACCTTTATACACTCTAGGTCCAAAAAACATACTTAAAAAAAGGGATAATACTGCTGGCTTAACAAAATGCCATTTACTACGATGGAATTCTACAAAGGGAGCATGACACCTAACAGGATAAAAAAAGGAAAGAAAAAGCCCTAAGCAAAAAATTTTTTGAAACACACAAAATCCCACCTGTGCAAATCGAGCTATGCTCAGGAAATCCTTTCTCAGCCACAGAGAAACAGCTCATGCTCAGTGCCTTGAAGCTGCAATTAAATTGTAGTAATTTAAGATTATCGGAAGAGCAAAGGGCAGTGGGAGCTCTTTGGAGGGCTTCCCTTCCCACTTCATGTTCTTCAACCAGGGGTTAAATGAGTTTCTTTAATGTAAGTTCCTTAAAGTAACTGAATCGTAAACAAAATTTATACTATTTTCTGACAGCCTGCAATCTATTTAAATTTTATTAACATGCCTAAAATTATTTTTAAAAGACAGAACTCATGCAATGCCGTGTAAATATTCTTCACATACATACTGAAATGTAATTGGTACTATACCACCTAACATTGTTTGAACTTACATACTTGTTTGTGATGCAGAATCTTACAAGATAACATTTCAAAACTGAGTTTCAGTCTTAAGTAAAACATGAAAACCAAATAAACAGCACAATAAGATTGGCTGCAAAGAGGAAGTTGGGTTCAAATGAAGTCACATCTGCTCTATTCCGTCCTCCCATCTTTTAATGCTGGCATTGAAAGTGCTATGGTACAAACATATTTGTTTATGAAATATCACAATTCTTCTGTTAATTTAAACTGCTGAAAACAGACATATCTTTCAATAGAGCCCAAGAATGTAAATATACAAAGCCAGGGATAGAGTATTAAGAGAAGCAAGGAAAAACTTAGTAACAGAAAATCATTCCTAGACTCATTATTAACCAAGTTAACTTTTGTTATTGTTAGTACAAATGATTTAACTAGAAAATATTTATAGCTTTAAAAAAAAACATTACATATTGCAGAAAATTGCCTAATAGCATCCATGTGTATGTTTAACTAGCATTGTTTAATTACACAATAAAAGGTATACCCAATAAAAGCTACAGACTTTGAAACATGTTGGGCACTATGGTTATGAAACTCTGACTTATAAAAAAATTAAGTGCTTACTGTGTGATCGACATTTGTTAAAATGCAATCCTTAAATTACCATTATTTTTATTCTTCTGTATGTGTTTACTTGTCCTATTTCCTACTTTGTTCTACTTAATTAAAAATGACATTTAATTTGGGGAGAGTTTTTAGCAAAAAAAAAAAAAAGTGTTACACGGTTTATACTCCAGAATTTAAATATAAACACAAAATCTTAGATATCGCCAGGAATATAACCCCTTAGTTTGAGACACTGAATCTGAATACTTGATGTTTCTTTCATTATACTTTGATAAACCTGTGAAAACAAAATGCTAAAGTAATTACTGTTACTACTGTCTTTAAAAATGTAAAGCAGTTAAATTTTCCTAGAAAACAAGCAAGGACAAGTTACAGAGAACTTGAATAAAAGTACCAACATGGTCATGTTGAATGTCAATCTAAAAAAAGAGGTTATGTCTAATCTGGAGAATGTTCCCTCTCGCCTTTTTAAATTCCAAGAGTGGGCTGACACAAAACTTCATCACCAGGGTTTTTTCTTTTCTTTCTTTTTTTTTTTTTTTTTTGAGCTGCACATCAGATTTAAACCCTCACATACAAAACCCTGGCTTCCCTGACAAGGCAGATCTTCTAAACTTGATGTGAGAAAACGTTATCTAACTCTAGTGTAGGAGTCTAATGTTGGTAAAAAGAGTTCCACTGCACAGTTCTGAGTAGAAAGACAGCCTCTGGAAGACTTGATATTCTTTTACTACCTTTTCCGTGCATTCTCTTCATAAACAAGAATGCATTAAAAAATACTAACTTGTTTAGCAACTCAGCACCCATAAGGAACTCAAATGCTGCCTAGAGAGAGGCTAAGTATTTCCTTCCAAGTGAGCCTTGGCTTGCACAACAAAGATGAGCATTTGCAATGGTCCATTTCTGCATTACTGAATATATAGCTTTGCTGCTTGATCTAATAGTCCAGGGTTCTCTCTCCACGTAGAGCTCCTGACAACAACCCAGCAGCAGTTCTGTTTGATCTCTTCTGCTTCCTTAATTTGGGTTGTCAAGGTTCAGCAGTTGGAGGCTGTTTACTTTACTTTCCCCACCTAACCCCCCCCCCAAAAAAAACTGATTTTTTTCCTCTCATACTAATCCAAAGTCTAAGGGGAGGAAATGCAGCCAGTGGCAAGATGTTAAACCATTTTTCCCCCTTTGCAGTGATATTGTAGCTGACACCTATTGAATAGTAACCAGTTGAGTTTCTCTTTATATTTTTAATACTCTTTAATTACTAGATATTTCAAGTAAAAAAATCAGATAGGAAAAAAACCCATTCCAAATCTCTGAAACTGTGAGCCCAATTTTCTTCACCTGATCTCTAAGAGATGGGTATTTCCACTTTGAAAATCAAAACTCCAGTGGAATTCTAAAGAAAAGATTTGAAACATTCCTCTCTGGAACTGAAAATAGCAGGAGCTCCTGTCTCAATTATGCAGGTTAACCCTGGGTAGAAAACACCTAAAGTCTGACCATTTCTCCTCAAATTCCAGTTAAGACATCTCCCCCCAAACTGATTCTCACTGGAAAAACGGGGGTGGCAGAAGAGATGAGAGATAAAAATTTTGCATGGATTCTTCAACATATTTTCAGCAATAGAAAAATCCCTTAAATATCCTTCAGGTTTTCTCAGCTGAGCTATTGTGCAAACACTAAATCCTGAAGCCTAAGGGCAACCAAAGGTAAAATGTAGCCGATTTCAATGTATAGACTCCTTTCAAAGGGAATACAGAATGCCCCTCCAGTATTTAAACAGTAGTAACAAAAAAGAAAATCGAACTTATAAAATACCTGTGACCGAACATGAGAGCAACACCAGCCCCTCATAAGTGGGCTGGAGAAGCTCAAATGCAACCAAATTAAATGTTTATATTAATTTCATTACTCTACCCAAGCCTCACAAACGAAGGCTGGGGGGAGGGGGTGTTGGGAAGAGGAAGAAATAAGTTTCATTTCGGGTTTTCTGGTCGAGCAAAAGGAAAATGAATTAAAAGGAATGCGTAGGATGAGCCCAGACTAAATCAATACACTTTGTAATCAGCCCGGCGAGGGTATTTGGACACAATGACTTGGAAATAATTAATAGTTATAAGGGGGGAGTAGGGTGAGAAGGGAGACGAGGGATGTCACCATATTTTATCGGAGCACTTTACTCCACGCTAAACTTTGATCTCCAGATTTTCGGATTTAGGAAGGAAAGATACAAAAGAGGAAGTCCAGTATTTCGAAGCACCTACCGGCTTGAAGACGGGCAAATCCCTGGCTCCCGGCACCCATGGCTGCGCTCGCGCCGCCCATGCTGGCGCTTTGGGCACAGAGAGCCCCCGGGTTCAGCCAGGGCTCCGGGGTGTCCCTAGCCCCCGTGTCCCTGCCCGCGTCTTGGTCCCGGCGCCCGCCGCCGCCTCGACTTACCCGCGGAGTCCAGGGAGGGAGTGGGAGCGCCTCCTTTACGCCCGCGGAGGAGGCGCCGGCAGTACCATGGTCCCCCGCGCCGCTGCTGCTGCCCCTGGCCCGCTGGCTCGCCGCGCGCTCTCTTCTCCCTCTTGCTAACTTTCGGGTTCTGCGATCGACAAGAAACCGGGGCGACCCTCAGCAAGTCTTCCGGGTGCAGGTTGGGGGGAACTGAGGGGGCGGTATGAGTGAGTAGGCTGGGGGACCAAGACTGCGAGGGCGGCGGGCTCCGAGGACCCGCGAGCGCGCGTGGAGAGAAGAGAGGATGTGTCTCAGGGAATCCCTGCAAGGATCCCGAGACCGGGAAACCGGCCCGAGCAAAGTCTGAGCACCTTCGCCGGGATCTTACAAAGTTGCAACAACAAAAAAGGAGGGGGGAGGGAAGGGGGAAGGGGGAAGGGGCTGGGATAGGGATACGTTCGCAGGCGCAAGGTTTGCAGTTACAATTGTTTATTTAGTCCTTATTCTCACAGGGGGCAGGAGCTGCGCGGGAATGGGATGAGGGTGGGGGACCGCAGGCAGCGATTTCGAAGCAAACACTTGAGACGGGGGCAAGCGACTTTGTTTCAGGGCGCGGAGCTCTCCGATGCCCGCCTGTGTCTCCGCCAGCCTCCGGGGACTGAGGCGGAG